TCTCTCTCTCTCTCTCTCTCTCTCTCTCTCTCTCTCTCTCTCTCTCTCTCTCTCTCTCTCTCTCTCTCTCTCTCTCTCTCTCTCTCTTCTTCTTTCGTCGCCATCTTCTCCTTCTTTCCCCAGTCTTCTTATACGTGGTGCGGCAATCTTCTACCCCCACAGCGATGGCAATCTCCCTTCTCTAATCAGCACGACGACTTCTTCTTTGATCGGCGCAGCAGCTCTCTCTTCGATCGGCAGCGATCTTCCTCTCCGTCACACGGCCCAATAACAAGATGGCACGCAACTCAACGGCCCGCGACAGCGATAGCAGCACAGTGTGCAACTTGGCGAGGAGCGGCAACAAGCAGCAAAGTGTGACAACAACAAACAGCAGCACGCTGCAAGCAGTGGGGCAAGCGCGGGGAACTGGCGCGTGATCTAGCAGCGGCACGCACAACAATAGCGGGCGGCGCGCAACAACGACGGGGCGCGCATGATCATGACGATGCAAACTGGCGACCGGAGGGAACAATGGCGCGCGGCAGTCTGGGGAGCAGCGAAACATTGCGCAGGGAAAACAACGGCGCGCACAAGCGCACGATCTTGCAGCGTGCGTGCGTGGCTGACGTGGCGCCCTGAGCATACAGCGCCCCTCCTCTCTCGTCAGCTGGAGTCAATGGCGCTGGCGTGGCACCCTCTTTCTTTGTGTGCTGATGTGGTGCCGCCTTCTCCCGGCGATGGTGGCGATGATCACGATGACGACGAGGCGGGACAGCGGAGACCAGCTCTGATACCAATACAATCACACTTCTCTTCTTTGACCTCAGCATGCATGCAAACAGATGGCGATCACGCTATGGCGCCCACACAAAGCTCGGAGATAAACGTAACGAGGAACACAGCTCAGATTCAAACTCGTCTTGAATGGCTATGGTGCCACTGATAAAGATACACACGCGATCAACTGTATTCACCGGCAACTTATTCACACACACGCATACACTTTGGATTTCCCTGGATGTCCTGCAGACACACACACAACGCACTTGCACACAGACAAAACCTCTACCTCTAACCTACGGCAGCTATGACTGCCTTCTTCCTCCTGCTGACAAGCGGCCATGGTCACGTCTTCCTCTGTTAGCCCTCTTCTTCTTCAGGCACCTGCAGACCTCCGTAGCACAAGACGCTCCAACAGCGCTTCCGCACGGCTCACAGGCAGAATGAATCCATGGCTTGACACTGCCTCTTTATTTATACTTCGGATCGTCACAGGTCTGCCCTTTGTCCCTGGGCCCGGGATGTGCACAGTCCCACCTGGTACTTGCTGACTGGACAAAGTGCACCTTGGGACTGGGTACCGCTGACTGGGATAACTAGGGCTAGGACTGCCCTTTGCTGACTGTGCTAGGACTGCCCTCTGCTGACTCAGATGCGAACTGACTCTAAGACTCACGAAAGGTCACTTCCGAAAGTTCCAGAAGGTCGTAGGCTTGACCCTTCGATACTGTAGCAGATAGGACCTAGACTACTGCTAAGACCCCTAAAACGCAGACCTACGGTTCAAGGCCCGATGACCGCACTATATACAATAGCAGGTCCAAGTCCTGGTAATATGATCCTGGCCAAGAACAGCCTGCCTGGGTCCCTACCTAACATCCAGCCAACCCTACTGATGCAGCAGGGTCCTGAGGATTGGGTCATGCACAAACAGACAAATGTCTGGTCCAGTCCCATACACAGACAAATCTGAACCTGGTCTACAAAGGCCAAAACTGAAATGCATTGGTCCAAACAGGCATCTGCCTGTTCGGGCAAAAGAAAAGTCCTACACGACACATCTGAAACAGACAAAAAAATCCACCCGCAAACTCACTCAGCAAAAATAAAAGAATAAATGCTGAGAAAGGAAAGCGAATGGGACAAAGGATACGAGCCTAGGCCCAAAACGTGGCTGTCGCCCACCCAGTCGCTTAGCCAAAGGGGCTGTGCAGCCCAGGGGCCAAACAGGGAAATGTCGGGCCTGACGGGGCCGTGTAGGAGCCCCTAGGATGCTACACTATCTCTCACCCAATGATGAAGCTGGTATCTCTCTTACCAACACCTCGCCAACATGAAAAGTCACTCCCCACCACAGTATGACTCTGCCGCAAAGAAGAATAACACCGGTCAAAAGAAAGCCAACCTTCAGCAGTGAAACAATGTCGCTTCCTCACACCAACATCAACACGTAAAACCAGGTTTCTCTCTCTCTCTCTCTCTCTCTCTCTCTCTCTCTCTCTCTCTCTCTCTCTCTCTCTCTCTCTCTCTCT